TGTAAATAATAAAAATTGGGGACCAGCCCTGGCTGGTGTGGCTCAGTGGATTGAGCACGAGCCTGTGAAGCAAAGGGTTGCTGGTTCAATTCCTAGTCAGGGCACATGCCTGGGTTGCAGGCCAGGTCCCCAGTAGGGGACACATAAGAGGCACCCAAGACACTGATGTTTCTCTCCCACGCTCTCTCCTTCCCTTTCCCTCTATCCAAAAATAAATAAATAAAATATTTTTTAAAAAATAGAGACCAAATTGGAGAAAAAGATCCACCACAGCATATCAACAACAAATGAGCTAAAACTAATATGGGGGGATGGGAATAAGAGGGGAAAAAAAAAAGAAAGAAGAGCTTAAGAGATGCCTGGAAGAAAAGGAAATGATTTTGAGATTATAGAGAGGGACTAACAAGAGTGAGGAATGAAAACCAGGCTAAGATAGGAAAAAAGTAAAATCTGAGATGAAAAAATGAATGGACTGGATAAAGACAAAATGGAGTAAGACAGAGAAACAGTAGATTTTCAGATTTGAAATACAAAAACAATGAAGATCTAGAGATAAAATAAAAACTGCAATAATTACTACCGTATCCAAAACCAGCAAGCAAAGATTTCTATAGTTGGAGAGAGAATGCTAGCATTTTAAGAGTAGGAAGAAGAATGTGGGATGACCACTTATAATAAAATTGGTTTTGAGAGGGTGTACAGGGGAGAAAGTAAGACTGCAGAATGGAAACAAGGTGTAGCAAGACAGAAAGCAAAATTTAAAACTAAAGAGGAAAGAAGGTAAAATGAAGTAAGAAAAGGGAGGAGCAATATTAGAATTAAACTTTCATATAAAATCTAGTGACTTAATATGCACAAACTTATAGACACAAAAATGTATGTTAAAAAACTAAGAGGAAAAAATATCACAAATAATGGAGAAGACCATGGTGGATTTCCTCTCTATAGCATCTTGGGTCCACCTCTGGTGATGTCAAATTGTGATCCCATCTGTCCTTAGGCAGCCTATCGAGACTACCAGGGTCTACTGTCTGTGGCTGACTCCTTCAGTTGTTAATCTAGTCACTCTGTACTCAGCAGTCAGGTTTAAGTACCACAGGGTAGGGCGAAGTCACTCTTGGTGGTGGGGCTGTTGCTTCCCTTCAGGTTGATGCCACTCAGAAGGGAGCAGTCTGCCTGAGAAAGATAGCCTTCAGTGAAGGGGTGACTTGGCACCAGAATCCTGGCAGGAGCTCTCTCAGTTCCCTCCCCAAAACTTCCACCCCCTGTCTCTCCACAAGTGTCTCTAGTCCACTCTGATGCATATGAAAATTTATGCAATGTCTCTTTAAATGGCTCTTTGAATCTCCAGCCATCTGTTTCTGGCAGAGAGCAACTCTGCCATTTTTCACAGCTGGATGCTATCTGTGTACATTTTGGGCTCTGGTGCTGTAGGCTAGGAATCCCAGCTTGCGGTTTAGACACCACACTTCTCAGGGGGGATCCCCCCAGCCGCTTAGATATGCTTCCAGAACTTCAGCTGCTTCCTATGGGCATCTAACCAGCCCTCTTACGTCCTCTCCATACTCCCTACCAGTCATGTTGTGTTTAAGCTATTTCTTTTGTCTGTGGTTATAAGGCTTTTCTCTTGCTATTGTTCAGTTGTTTATTCCCGATGATTTCTCCACAATTTAGTTGCAATTCCAGATTGGTCCTGGGAGGAGGTGAGTGTAACTTCTACTCACTCCTCTGTCACCTTGGATCCACAGCCCCATCTCTGCAAACTTTTATCTACAAACACCACTAAATAATATCAACACAAATGCTAAAATATTAAGTTTATGAGAAATTTAACTACATATAAATAAATATATCTAAGTTCAAATAAAAATCCTTTATATACCACCACTTCTGAACCCTACCTATGATATACTAACTGATCAATCTCAGGCCAACTGCTAGAAAAATTACTTCCCTAAATTTCCCTTCTTTCCTCCTATTAAGCAGTATTTACCTGAGGAAGGCCTTGGTGCAAAGGCAGTGAGAACAACCTCTTCCATTACACACACGAAAAAGAGAAATGTAAAACGGTATGAACAGCATGCATACTATAGCCCTACAGCAATTAAAACAGTATGGCATTGGCATAAGGACAGACATATAAACCAAGGGAATGGAGGCCAGAAATACATAGTCAAGAGATTTTCAATGAGGGTGAAAAGACCATTCAATGGGAAAAGAACACTTTTTTCAATAAAAGGTGTTGAGAAAAATAGGATATCAAATGCAAATGAATGACTGGACCCTAATCTTAGGCCATATACAAAAATTAACTCAAAATAAATCAAAGACCTAAATATAGGAGTTAAAATTATAATAGTCTTTAAAAAATTGTGAGGAAAATGTTCATGACATTGTATTGGACAATGATTTCTTGGATATGATACCAAAAAACAGGAAACAAAAAAAAGATGAACTGGACTTCATGAAAATTTCAAAATTTTGTGTATCAAAGGACACTATCAAGAATGTGAAAAAGCAACTCACAGATTGGAAGAAGATATTTATAAATCATATATCTAATAAGGGATTAATACCTAAATTATACAAAGAACTCATACAACTCAGCAACAACAACAACAAAAAACCCAGTTTAAAAAATGGGCAAAGGGCTTGAGTAGACATTTCCACTAAACAAGTAAAAGGGTTCTGGTAACAAGTCCAACTGGGAGTGAGGGGGAAGGGTCCTCCTACAGTGTAGGGTCTATACCAATAAACAATTCTCAGAAACCAAGAGGTCTGAGGAGAATTCAACTAAATCCTAACACTATCTACCCAGAGACAGTGTCAGATACCACAGCTCAGTACTACAAAACTGCTCCCACTGACCCATGACGACTTCAGAAGCCAGGGCTTTAGACTGGTTGACTATAAATCAGAGGTTCCCATGAGCTGCTCCTTGGGAGAAATTAATTTCTAAAGCAGCTCACAGAACTCAATGAACCATTTTACTTACCACATTACTAATTTATTATAAAAGAACAGAACTCAGGAACAGCCAGATAGAAGAGATGAAAAGAATGGGGAAAGGACATGGCACTTCCATGCCCTCTTCAGGAATGTCACCCTTTCCAAATCTGTACATCAACCCAGAAGGTCTCCAAATCCTATCCTTTTGGGTATTTATGAAGCCTTACTTACATAGACATGATCGACTAACTCATTTGCCCCTCTTTCTTCCCTGGAGGTTGAGGGGTGGGACTGAGAGTTTCAAGCTTCTAACGGCATGGTTAATACACTGGCAACCAGCACTCATTCTTAGGTGCTTTTCAAAAGTTACATCATTAACATAACAACAGACACTTTTATCACTCTCAACACTTAAAAAGTTTCAAGAGTTTTGGGAGCCATGATTCTGGAACCATGAATGAAACCTAAATATATTAAGAGAAATATATTTTGGTCATCTGAATAATCAAATACATGTCTTATAAATCACAGTATCACAAGAGGATATATGAATGATCGTTAGCACAAAAAGATGTTCAACATCATTAAACACTAGGGAAATGCAAATCAAAACCACTAGAGGATACCACTTCACAAGCACTGGCAAGGAAGTAGAGAAACTAGAACCCTCATGCATTGTTCATGGAAATGTAAAATGATTGTAGCCACCATGTAAACAGTTTAGCAGTTTCTCAAAAAGTTAAACATAAAACTACCATATGACCCAGTCAGTCTACTCCTAGGTATATATCCAAAAGATTTAAATGCAAGGTATCAAATAGCTATCTATATACAGCTATCTACATACTGATTTTCACAGTAGCACTATTTGCAACAGCTTAAGGTGGAAACAACCCAGATATCCATCCATAAATGAATGAATAAACAAAATGTTACATACATACACAATGGAGAAGCAAAATGTGGCATATATACACAACACAGATGAACCTTAAAAACATTTTGCTTAGTGAAACAAGCCAGATACAGAAGGACAAATACTATATGGTTCCACTTATGTGAGGTATCTAAAGGAGTCAAATTCAGAGACAGCAGAATAGAGGTTACCAGGAGTTGAAGGAAAGGAAAGAAAACTGTACCTTTTTAATGATACAGCGTTTATGTTGGAAAGATGAAAAGTTCTGATATAGTTATCAGTGATGGGTACACAGCATTTTGAATGTCATTAATGCCACTAAATGTTACACTTATGGTTAAAATTATAAATGTTATGTAATATATATTTTACCACTATTTTAAAATGCAGCAGAAAAATAAACAGTATTGACAGCACATTAAAATTAGTGTGAGGGGGTATGGGAAGGACTGCTATGAATACAGAAGAAAACAATGTATTTATGTTTTTATAAAGATAGGTAATATATCCAGAAGAATACACAAAAAATCTGTAACAGTGGTTGCCTCTAGGGAAAGAACTTTGTGGCCAGAGAAGTTCTCACTGAATACACTTGACTGTACCTTTTGAAATTTACATTTGTGCCTCAATACCTATTATAAAATGAGGAGGGAAAAAAAACCATTAGACTGAGTCTTAAGAGCAATCTAGGTTTAATTCTCTCACTTTACAGAGAAGGGACTGAAGCAGGAAACACATTATGCTCTTGCCTAAACTCAAAAACTCAATCAGGGAAGAGCTCTAAGGCAGAAACAGATAAAGAGTATATTCTGTAAGAAAGAAAAGGTAACCAACCACAAAAGAGAAAAAACAATTTTAAGGAGTTTTAGAGTATACTCTATGACAAAGCAAATACTCGGGATTCACCATGACAGTTATAATAAGCAATGCCATATGTACTTACAAGTACCACTTCAGGTCCAACACAAAATTAGATAAAACAGTAGGAGAAGAACATGGAAGAAAGAACAATGAAACTGGTAAACATAGAAAGGAGTGGTAACACCTTACCAAGCAGCTGATGTGTTCTTGGAAACATTAATGCTTCTTGGATACTCAAACCCCTACATTTCCTGAAAAGTAACAAATGTCTCACCCAATGACTCTGTCCTCGCAGTTTATCATTTGATTCTCCTACTATTTCTTCCCATACAGCAGCTGTTCGGTCAAAAGAACAGGAAGCTAAAACCTGTCCAAATTCAGGATGGGCCCATGTCACACGCCACACAGATCCACTATGTGTCTGAGGAATTAAAAACAAACAAAAAAAACCCCAAAAACTGAGTTTACTCATATCTCACACATATAAGGATTTCCTTAAGAAAATGGAATACACATATTTTTACTTTAGTAAAGGAGAAAGCTGTTCAAAATAACATTTCAATAAAAAGGTAAATGCTAAAACTTTTTAACTTCCAATGCTAATATTAGAGACCTGCTTCATACTTCAGCCTAAACAAGTTTTTAAAAAGAGATTCTACCAGTTGGCTAATTTCTCAAACTGTATCTATAAGGGAATATCCACATAATAAATAATATTAATCAAAACTATTTGCTCCAAAAGCCTTACAGTACAGTCATACCTCAGTACTCAATGGCTTTCAGAACTCAGAACTGTTCAAACCCTGTACTCATCACATTTTGATGAGGAAAAAATGTTTCAGCACTCAGCACTTGTTCAGGACTCATAGCACTTGCTAGAACTTATATGCATCCTGACACCACCCCACAAGAGAAAATGTTTCATCACTTGTCACTTGCTCATACCGAGGTAGCACTGTGTACAGAAACTGTAGCAACAAAATGCTTAAATGATTCTAACTGATGTCTGTTTGGACAATGGACTATTCTAGGAAAAGAGCCAACAGATAAGCAAATATAGAGAAGTCCAAATCCTTGTATTCTGAAAAATAAGTTAAAGCTTAGCGGTAGTACCTTTATGTACAAAAAAATGTCAAATTACTATTCAACTCTTCACATTGACAAAAAAAAAGGATGGAAATCGCCTTAAAGACTTTCACATCAACAGAATTCCATTTGTGCTTTCCAGTAAAAATACTATATGACAACTATCAATCCACCAATTATATTTACAAAATTTGTTTCATGCTTCTACATGTCTAACACTTTTATAGTCAACAATCTCGTAACTTTCATAATCTGTTAACTTCTACATGATAAAAATATCATCGAAAGGTAAACTTTAAACTCTTATTTTTTTAATTTTTTATTTATTGAGTTTTAAAAAGGAAAGGGGAAGAGTGGGGGCAGAGAGAAAGAGAGAGATTTGTTGCTCCACTTATTTATGCATTCAGTGGTTGCTTCTTGTATGTGCCCTGACCAGGTGTAAACCACAACTCTGATGTACTGTAACAACACCCCAACCAATTAAGCACCTGGCCAGGTTTTATTCTTAGTTTTGTCCAGCCTTTCTCTTGTTTGACCTTTAATTCTTATTTATACAGGTTATTAAGTAAAAAGATACAACAGGGCAGTGAAATTTTGTTCAATATCAGATTCCCAGTAAAGCCCAATCTAACTAAAGAATAAGAACTGCACAACGATTATCATCACAGTAAAGAGAAACAACGTAAATATGCATTTGTTAAGCAAAACAGGGTATATTTATGTTTTTAAAGAGGCTTTGAACATACCTCAAAGTACGATACTTAGGTTGTGAAATGGAAAAGCAAAAAAACAGGGGTTTTCTTTTGAAATTACAAAAAGCTGTGGAACTAGATAGAAGTGATAGCTGTACAACATGATCAGTGGAGTAAATACCACTGAACTATTTAATAATTAATTTTATTTTGTGTGAATTATACCTCAACTTAAGAGCACAAAAGATTTGGATAGACAATTCACCAAAAGGTAACTGAATGGGCAAATATGCACAAAAAAAAACATAATCAACATCTTTAGTCATTAAGGACATACAAATCAAAACCCAATGAGATACTACTTCAAAACAAGATGGCTATAATAAAAATAAATAAATAAGAAAAAAGAAAATATCAAGTGTATGGAAGGATACATAAAAGGGAACCATCTTATATTTCTTGGTGGAAATATAAAATAGTAGAGGCACCTCGGAAAAGAGTTTGGCTATCTGACAGTCAAAACATCCACAAGCCAGCCATTTCACTCTTCGGTATCTACCTAAGAGAAATGAAATGTAGGTGCACACAGACTTGTATGGCATGTTAAGAATAGCATTCATTATTCCTAATTGCCAAAAACTAAAAGCAATTCAAATGTCTATATGGTAAATGAATAAATAAACATGGCTTTTCCTATACGATGGAATACTCCTCAGCATTACAAGGAATAAAACTACTTACATGTGTTACAACATGGATGAACCTCAAAAACATGCTAAGGGAAAGTAGCCAGACAAAAAGAACTACTTGTTACAGAATTCCATTTATGTGAAATATCTAAAAAAGGTAAAACTATAGAAAGAAATTAGTTCAGTGGTTGCCTAGGGCTCAGGAGAGAAAAAGGGTAAGACTGAACCCAAATGGGCACAAGGGAAATTTCAGGACTGATGGAAGTGTTCTAAAACTAGACTGTGGTGATACTTACAATACTATAGAAATTTATTAAAACTCACTGAAATGTAAACTTATAATTGATGACTCTCAAGGTATGTAAAATTCTACCTGAGTAAAGTTGTTTTTTAAAAAATTTTTTTAAAAATGTATGAAACATCACTATTATTTAAAATATGTAAATGACAAAAGACATACTAACATGCTAAAAACAACTGTTAGAATGCTACGGAATTACAAATTTTCTTATTCTCAAATTTTCTAATGTGTATTTGTTATTTTTAATAGTGGAAAATGTAAAAGTCCTTTTTAAAAAGTATACAATTCTCCCAAAGCTAAAGAGCAAGTCACTGACACTACCAAATAAATAGCAAACATTTCTATTTCTTTAAACATTTCAATTTTAAAAATTACTGTAAAAATAAATACTAACCTTCCAGCTAGCAGTACAATGCCAATCACCACTTTCACTTTTATCCCAGACCTATAAAAAAATTAAGACAGATATTTTATCCAAAAAAATTCTTCAAAATTAATACGAAAAACATTAAGACTGAATCAGTATTAGAGGAAAGGAGGTGAACATGAATTCACAAAGAAATACAACCAATAAGCAGATATTCATTCAAATATTTATTGAGAACCTTGGATATGTCAGGCACTTGGCGAAGCACTGAGGGGTCAAGGAATCTGAGCTCTACCGGGCAAGAGAGACAATTATAATTATAGTTAAGTCTTGTTATTCGAGGCAGTTATGTTCTCTGTGTTGCCAAGAACACTGATTTAGCAAATACTGAACCACCGCTCCTAAGGGAAATACAAGATGAGATTTCATAGGAGCCTCTGGTCACAACTTACCAGTTAACCAATCAATATATAAACTTGTTTTTATGTGTGCATATGCTTAAAGACAACTTATTTAGTATATATTATTAATTAACATTGAACTCAAAGCCAACAGCACTATAACTCATGTCTGAATGAAGCTTCCTTAGCACACATATTTTTTCTGTAGAGTACATCACAGCCTTTGTGCACTTGGGAACACTAGGCAATACTTCAGCACTATGTTTGGGCACTATTCTAGACAGTGAAATCACCAACAAAAAGAACATATATGTCAGACTGGCCAGTGGATCAGTTGGCTGTAGCATCATCCCATGCTTAAGGTTGATTCTAGTCAGAGCACATAACCTAGGCTGCTGGTTTGATTTCAGGTAGGAGTACATATGGGAGGCAACAAATCCATGTTATTCTCTCACATCAATGTTTTTCTCTCTTTTCCCTCACCCCTCCCCCCTCTTTCTAAACATATCAACAAGTAAGGACTAATAAAAAAAAGAAAATGTGAAAAATGTGGCAATAGAGAATGAGGACACATCTACAACATGACAAACAAAATAAAAAGGAACCCTACTGGACCTCAAATGAGAACATGTACTCAGGCAACTCCAATTTTTTTTCCCCTCTGTTCATGTCAGCAAAATAACAGTATTGATCTTAGGGTTAAAGTAAATCTTGAAGAGTAAACAAATTCACAAATACAAAGTCTACAAATAATCACTATCAGCTGTACATGTAACAAACCAAAGCAAAATATTGAAACTTCTATCAACAACAAAAAAAATAGATTATAATAACAAGATGACATTTTAACCTGTTAAAAAATGTAACAAACAGTATGGTGGTACCTTAAAACAAACAAAAATAGAAAATGCAGCCCTGGCTGGTGTAGCTCAGTGGATTGAGCACGGGCCTGCGAACCAAAAAATCATGGTTCAATTCCCAGTTGGGGCACATGCCTGGGTTGCAGGCCAGTTCCCAGTGGTGGACACACAAGAAGCAACCATACATTAATATTTCTCTCCCTCTCTCCTTCCCTTCCCTTCTAAAGATAAATAAATAAATATCTAAAAAATAAGTAAAAAATATTATTAAAAAAAGAGAAAATGCAGGGTCTCACAGTGACATCAGCATCATAATAGAATTAAGAAGACCTCTTAGTCTTTCTCCTTCAAGTTCCAAGTTGGACAATCATAATTCAACAAAGGAGTCCCTGTTCAGTGCACAAACATATCTGAGGGACCCACGCATTGAGACATATACAGGTGGGCATAACATAGTAGGAAGGGGAGGAAGGGTACATCAGCCCTCACTCGGCAGTCCAGAGAGAAAGCCAGAGGCACAGAAGCATTCTGGCCTGACTGGCCAGTACACATTGTAGCTGAGCAAATGTGAGAGAGGCCAGAAACAGAGTAAAGATGTAGCAGCTGCAAACTGACAGCCACCATTATCCAGAAAAAAACAAAGAGGCATGAATCTCTCCCAGCTCCAGCTGACAGGGCAGCAGCATAAGTTTCAGAATACAGCCTCATTCATAGAGGCCTGAAGAAGGCCAAAGGGCAGAAACAACATTCCAGCCTAAGTACCTGGTACACAACGCAGCTAAATGTAGTTGGGGGGGGAAAAAAAACAGCCACATGCTCTCCCCTCCAGGAACATACCCACACCTCTCCTTTCCTCCTCTTCTTCCCTCACAGGTTGCATCTTTCCTAAACTCTAAGAACTTCACAGGATATACAACCATGGAAGCCATGGGGAGCAACAGCTCTTCCTGGGCTAACCCCCAGAACCTGTCTCGAAGACACCCTTTTATCTGACTTGAGCCAAAGCAGCCCTGCCTAGGCTCTTTCCTGTTGCCTCTTCTATCTTAAGCCCTTCCTTGTTTCATTGTCTCCAGCTTTAATAAATGTACTCTCAAAAGGGAGGGAGGGAGGGAGCCACAAAATGACAGACTCATCTCTTCCTGCCTACTTCTCCCCTACCCCCTGAGGGAGAACCCAGCAAAGGCAGCTGGGGCACCTTAGAAAGTACAGTGTGGATAGCAGCCTCTGGTTGTAGGGAAGCAGCCCTGAGAAATCACAGGCCAGGAACCCCATCACCTATCACATGTCACCACAAAAACAGTGCCCTGAGACAGAGATGACCCAATCACAGAGGGGACACTCACCTCCTCAGGGAATGTAAGGCATTTTCCACAGCCATTGCAACACACCCCACTGACATCCAGAAAGTCCTAGTAGTTCAGGTAAGGGGGGGGGGGGGCACGCAACAAAAGCTTATACTACAGCACCACCTACTGGAAAACAAAGACCTCTACTTATCACTTCTAAAATGCTAAAGCTAAACAATATTAAAAATATATATTTTTTAATTCCTCAAATACCCAGGCAGAATAATCCATCAAATACCACAAATAACCAAGGTAAAAAGGTAGCTGAGAAAGAAATTGACAGTCTCCAAAAAACAAGCTTAAAGATATGGAGGACTGTGATTTAAATGACAGCAAATTCAAGATTGTAGTTCTGAAAAAACCTCAATGAGATCTATGAAAACTCAGAACAGCAGTTCAAGGAGCTTAGGAATAAAGTCAATGAACAAAAGGAGTACTTTCCCAAAGAGACTGAAACTAACAAAGAACCAAACAAAAATTCTACAGCTGAAGAACTCAATAAATGATATAAAGAATGAATTAAAGAACTTAGGAAATAGAGCAGTGATCTTGAAGATAGAATTCTAGAAATGCCTCAGAAGAGAGAGAAGTGGCAATTTTAAAAAAATGAAAAAACTCTACAACAATTTGTCTCCATTAGAAATAGCAATATAAGAATAGGTATACCAGAAGTAAAAGGGAACAGAGAACCTACTCAAACAAATAATCAATGAGAGCTTCACAAGTCTATGGAAAGAGAAGGACCCTCGATCAAGAAGCTAACAGAACACCTGAATATCTCAATCCAAAAAGGTCTCCAAAAATGTTTTCAGTGTTAAATTTAATGACAATGAAAGACTTCTCAAGGCAGCCAAGGGGAAAAAAAGAATATAACCTATAAAGGAAACACCATTAGACTATCATTTTGAGGTGTTTTTTCCCCCAGCAGAAACCTACAAGCTAGGAGTAAGTGGAAAAAATATTCAAAATATACTGAAAGAAATAACCAGCCAATAATAACACATCCAGCAAAGTTATTCTTTAGACATAAAAGAGAAATAAAGGTTTTTCCAGACAAACGAAAGCTGACAAAATTTACCACCACAAGACCTCCATTATGAGAAATGTTGAAAAGAGCTCTTCTATCTGAAACAATACAAAAACATGAATAAGATGACAGACACACAGTACCAGGAAACTCCAGCTGTATTTCAGAAAAGCGTATTAAACACTTAATTATACAATACAGATTAAAAGGGGTAAAAGCATTTTTAGACTACAGCTTCTGCAATCTGAAAACAAACACACAGCCTAAAAAGGGATACTCAGCAACAAACAGGTATCAGGACAGGACAAAAAAAAGGACCAAATCTGCACAGACAGATGAATGGTAACAAGATGCAATCAGAAGAGAAAGAACTATGGTGTACATGAAAACATTTTTGCATAAACGGAATGAAAACCACAAAACAAAAATCTAGAACAGATACAAAATAGAGACTTATAGGTAGCAAGATGACAGGTAAGGGGAGCAAGGCAGGTAGGGGACAGATTGAGCAAAAAGGAAAAAGGACTCAGACATGGACAACAGCATGGGGATGGCAGAAAGAAGGGTATATACGGGGACTAAAGGGTAACAAAACAAATACAATAAAAACATTTTAAAAATTAAAAATAAAAAGAGGTAATGCCGGGGAAAAATTCATAGAACACCACCAAACTAAAATAGTAGAAAGAAATATAGGGAAAAGAATGGAGATACAGAGCAACCAGGAAAAAAGAAAAAAAGATAAAATGGCTGTATTAAGTCCTTATATATCAATAATCACCCTAAATGTAAATGGACTGAACTGATCAATTAAAAGGCACAGAGTAGCGGATGCATTAAAAAACAAGGCCCAACTATATGGTGCCCACAGAAGACTCATTTCAACTAAAACAATATAAACTCAAAGTGAATGGGTGGAAGATGATATTCCAAGCAAATGGCATCCAGACAAAAGTGGGTGGGGCTGGCTGTGTTTATTCAAACAAAATAATTTCAAGATTTCAAAAAGGTTATATTTTGTAATTTTTAAAAAAGGATAGACACTTCATAATGATAAAGGGGGCATTTCATCGGGAAGGCATAACACTTAATATGTACATACCCAAGTTGGAAGCTACAAAATGTGTAAAAAACTACTAGCATAGTAAGCTACAAAATATGTAAACAATTACTAAGCAAAGATACTGACAAAGATACAATTACGGTAGGGGACCTGAATAATCCATTGACAGTCATGGACAGATCACCCCCCACACACCAAAAAAAGTCAACATAGGCCTTAACTGACACATTAGACCAAATGAACATAATAAACATTTATAGAGCCTTCCATCCTAAATGACAGAATATACATTCCCCTCAAGTGTACATGTAACATTCTCAAGGAGAGATAGTATGTTGGGGCACAAAAGTAATCTCAACAAATTTAAAACACTGAAATCAC